TTCGCCCCTCGGAGCCGCCCGCCGGGTCTTATTTGCGATGGGGGGACAGCCCCTTTCAGCCACTGCTGCTTTATTTCTGCCTTTTCCACCCCCACCCCCCCCGCAGCTTTGCTGTTGGGCTTTGCTTTTGGTCAGGCCTCGTAGTTTTATATGAAGCTCCCGGGTGTAAATGTCATGAAAAACCTATAAATTTCTGGGTTTTTAACTTCTCGTCAAAGCCTGGTGCTGCGCTGTTATAGGGATAACGGTGATGCTAGCGCTGCGTGGTGATTGACCCAAACCACGCCTGAAGTGGGGTTGTGCGGTTTAAATGGTGTTGGGCAACTGGGCGGAATGAAAGGGTTGGGCTGGATGGAATTATCTCATTTTCTCTAAAAAATAAGCTTCACCTGTGTGGCTGTGGTTTCCCGTTGCAAAGCTGCTCACGGTTTATGTCCTTCAGTCAGGAGGCGCCACCCAGACAGAATGGTTTTGGGGTTTTTTTGGGTACGCTGCTGGGACAGAGGATGTTGGCAAAGGCATTGCTATAGTCTAAAATGGGTTCTAGTGATGGAGGGCTATGCTTATTAAAGTAATCAAACCAAAGCCCTGAGGATGACTTGATAATAGCTTGCAGCCAGGTTGCGTTCCCAACGGCAGCTTGCTGTCGTTTATAAGCTTGCGAGAATTAGAACAGGCCCTCTACGCTAGGAATTGAGAAGAAAACTTAGTTTGTGGGGGAAAGGAGGAAAAACGTGCTCCTAATCAAACTGAAAATATCCTCCTTATCCCAGGGAAGCAGGGGAACAGCCGGTCAGAGCAGTCTGGAGGGTGCTTTGTTTGGGAGGAGGCGGCATACGGTTAATGTGATTTCTCGCAAGATTAAACTTGCTCAGCGCCTGGCAACTGGCAGGTCACAGCTCCATCTTCACCTTGTGCGTGTCTCCAGCTGGTAAATTCTGGAAATGGTACTGATGCCGTGTTCCCTATGGAAAACTAGACAGCAGAAGCTTCCCGTATTTTTGTGGGATTTAATTCCTGGTATTAATTGGAGAGTCAATTGCTTCTATGTATATTGGTGCGCGTATGTGCAGAAAGATTACCCTTTGGAAGGCAGTGGGTAAGCGCAGCTCGTGCTTTTTGTTGTGAGTAACACGGTTGTCTGCAGGTGTGACCCCGTGCTGACCGCAGATCTGATGGCGCTAATTTGTCCTTTGCTGCTTATTGGCCAGATCCAACAATCTTACTCCCTCAGGTGGCCCCTTTACCGTATGGTTTCAGTTAAATTAAGCCTGTCAGTCATAATCCCGTTTCCTGTGGATGTTGTGAAGTGGTAGATGTGACTTTATCTGCTTGACTGGTTGACGTTTACTGTTAGGCTTTTGGTGCAGCCAGTTATCCTGGACGACGACTCGGTTAGCAAGTGCCATGTGTTTCTCCAAGCATGGCCTGTAGAAAAGTGGCCTTTTGTTGTGGGCAGTTACAGGACTGCCATAAACAACTCTTGCACAGTAATAGCCTCTTCGTTGGCCACAAAAGGAGGGGAACAACGCTTGAAAGTTATAAGCACTTCTGAAGACAAAAAATTAAACACTTTCTTGTCTGGAGTTATTACTCTGTAGCTGACTTTCAAATAACATCAATGTTTTCTAAGCAGCAGAAGTAACTTGAAAATTGCCTCTTAAGACAGTCTTGGATTAACTTTGTAGGGGTGCAGCTATCCTCTGTGTTGTTGCCAGTTCCCAGAAAGTAAATTGATAATGTGTCGTAACAAGGATCGTGTACTCCTGGTGGAGCCAAGACCATCTCGGTTTCTTCATGTGCTTGTCAGCGCAGGTGGTAAATGTGTGTTCTTCCTGCAGATAAAATCCGTCCGAGCTCTCTGGTAGACCCTGAAAGTATCTCTGTAGCCTAGATCTGGAAACATCCAGAGCAATTTTCTAGCTCTTCAGGGAGAGGAGGGAAGAGAAACTTGTGATCCAAATCTCTTGTTCGTTAGGATATGTCCAAAGAATGTAGAAGAAAATAAATTCCCACCATCAGCTTGTTGCTGTTCTCATCTTCTGATCTTTTTTTGTTTTGTTTTGTTTACTTCTGTGTACTGCGTGCTCTCCTGGGATATTGCATTCTTTGGATTTCTGTTTCCTTCTTTCCATGTCTCTTCCCCTCTCTTCTCTCTTTTGTGTGTTAATTTTCCTGGAGTTTTAGGCAAACCCTTTCCATTTTATAGCACTTACAACATTAAAACGATTTTTCTGCCATGTTACACAGGCCCGTATAGTGTCTTGTCCTCTAGTGACTTTGTAACATCGTGTTTTGGTGTTATACCAGAGTTGGGATTTGTTTAATAATCGTGCAAAAGTTGCTCTTAGTGTTTTTATATTAAAAAGAAATAAAAAGCTTTGACATTTCCCATCAATGTCACTGTTTACAGGTGCCTCTTCAAGTAATAAGTGCATGACCCTAAGAGTTTGGTAGTGCACCGTTGAAATGGCACCAGAGGCCTCTTGAAGCAGAGTTTAAAGTATTTAAACACTCCTGAAAAGTGTTTTCTTTCCAGGTGTAGTTTTATGGTTACCTTAGTTTGAAAGATGAAATGGGCATTCCAGCTCTTCCAAATCTGTTTGTGGAACAAGGCAACAGTTGGCAACAAGACTTAACTACCTCTGAAACATGGAGGGTGATACCATCATGAGAGAGAGAGTCCATTTGTTAAGTTCAAATAGCTTTTATAAATTTACATGATGTTTATTAAGGCAATGCTGAAATTTGAAGAACAGACTGCTTTAGATGTTTGGATTCGTTGTATTACCGGTTGATGCCACTTTCCACCCTGATAAAGCTCCAGAGAAGTGATGGGGGGAAAAAAGCTAATACAGTAAAAAAGACACTACGATCTATTATAAGAGAAAAAAAAAACATATTAAGCTGTTTGTATGTATTCGGTCTGCCCCTGTGTGTGTAATAGATGTATCTGGCCCTTGGGAGAAGAAGGAGAGGTTCACTGAAATAGGGGGTGACGATCACTGATGATCTCGGCTTGTTGAGCTGGATGTACATGGTTATGTGGTGGGCGGCCCGAGGGGTGGTCAGAGGGATCTGGGCTAGCCGCAGATGCGCAGATCAACTCTTCTGAATGTGCTGCAAGGCTGATGAATTTTAGCACGGACATCCCTGCTCATGCTGTGAGTCGTAGGAGTATTTTTATCATCAGAATCTTTTCCTCTGCTGGTTTGTTAAGCTGACCTGGACTTCTGGATGGGTGCAATAGAAGATCGGCTTCTTTAAGGTGCAGCACTGAA